ATCTATTATTGTGGTCACATAATATACTGTGAAATGCTTTATTTGCACTGGCATTTTATTTTCCCTGTTTTGCCTGTAGTCAATTTCCTGCAAAATAAATTCCAGTGAAAATGCAGCTTTCTTTAAACGTGCATTGAGTCTAATACAACATAGTGAAAATTAGATCACACAATGCCAGAAAGCTGTTTTCAGCGAAAATAAATTCCTGAGAAAATAAAGTATTTTACAGTAGTCAGCAATATTGCAAGCAACTTTTCTAACAATGTTTCTGTTTTAGTCTGTAAATGTATTTAAACTAAAACAGCTAAATTGTCAGAGATGTTGCATGCAATACCGCATTTGCTCTATTAGTTTCTATGGTCAAAATACATCATATTTTAATAAATCAGTATACAATCAATGCAATTATTGCCGTACATGTGCTTCTATTGGAGATGCTCTTTAATAGAGCATGTATGGTATACAATCTAAATGCAACCAGAGTGAAATTGTTTTTGAAATTAATATTGAAATGCAGATGTTAATTTTCCCTCTGCTATTATTTAATCCACAAACCAGAATTATTGACATCCATTTATATATGACCTAGTTTCTTCTTGTACTATGTGCCCCCTTATCTTGGCAGGAAGAATTGCCATATTTTTATGACGCAGTAATTTAAGTGAATTACCGTGTTTAGAGATGACACGACAACAGCTGATGGAAACATTTTTTTCCCGAAGTCATATAGTGACAAATATTTTTTTTTACACTGGTGAAGCAGAAATTTTTTTTTTTTTTTTTTGAAGAACCCTTCACTTTGCAATTTTGTTTTTTTTTGTTTCTGACCCCCCCCCCCTCAAAAATCAAATGGTCCAACCCTTACCATAATAAACAGAATTATAAACACACCATTTATTTCATTCGAATATGTTGAAGCAGAAAATTCAAATTACATATTTTGGGTGTCGTCAATGTCAACAAAATTGAGCAGTTGGGTTAGAGAATAAAGTGGAGCAAAATAGTAAAATACAAACTTTGAAACTTCCCGCCGCGACTAACGTGAACTAACATGAACGATGACAATATCACATACCTCGTTTTTGAAAGTGAAAATAAGAAATTGAACTGCATAAATTTAATGATCAAGAACTGTACCTGAAATCCAGTCAAGCATTTGATCAACTTCTTCAAATCTTTTTCAGCTCTCTTGTCAAAATAGGCCATTTTGTTTCTATTTTATATTTTAACCTTTGACCCGCAAACTCCCATATCCTCATTCATGTGTTTGGAATACATTTACTCCACTTCTACCCACAAGGCAGTTCATCGCTCTCTTTCCCGTCACCGCCATCATGGGTGAGTTGGGTTGTGTAGTAATGAAATAAAATATCCGTCTCAATCTACTAGATATTATTACCATCACTCTCTTAGATCTTTATTAAACAATTGTTGAATACATTGTGTATCGCTTCGAATAAGATTTTTCTCATAATATTCAAGAAAAAGATAAAAACTTCGTCGCTTTTGATAAGACATGTTCATGTTGTCTGTACTTGTGATTTGTGTGTTTTTGGTTTCGTGGGGATCTGTGTAGTTGTTAACTCTTGTGCATTTACTTCTTCGTCGCACGACACGTGCAGGCACAAACGTAATTCACTGTTCTTTGTATTTTTTGATGATCATGTACGCAATTTGATTCCACTGATAGATTGTTTTCTATGCAGGTATTTCACGTGATCACTGGCATAAGCGAAGAAAAACTGGTGGCAAGCAGAAGGCCATCAGAAAGAAGAGAAAGTTTGAACTTGGACGACCAGCAGCAAACACCAAGGTAACATTTTCTACCAAAAAACTAAATGTTATGCCATGATGTACGAGTGTATACCGTATTTGCTCTATTATCGTTCAGCCTACAATAATGTAATTTGTTTATAGTTTGTTTCTATATTGGAGATGTGCTGCTCAGTCATACAGCAAATTCCATATGTGCAAAAGTTTAAACGAAATAAACTGATCATGAAAACTGCTATCTCTTCCTTTTAGAGCGTTTATGGGGGCGTTTGTTATGACTTTGCATTCCTCCATTGGAAACATGCAAATTAAAAGTTCCACTATATTTTGAAGGGTGTAAAGGCTTTAACAAGTGTTACAGAAGTCTGTGGCTAGTTGGCACATTTCAGGAGACTGACTTGTAAACTTGAGATTGCCTGAATTCTGCTCATTTTTAGAAAATATGCAGGATACAGTGGCGTCAATACACCCATATTCATACTGAAATACGTACATGAGGGGGGGCAAGGGTTATTTTCGTTCAACGTAATTGCAATATTTTTTTGTTCGTGCAACGTAAATTGAAAAAATAAATTGCGTAATTCTATAATCACAGGTTAGATGTACAACGTAATCAATCAAATATTTTTTTCGTGCACAGTAAAAATGTGTCGTTTTTCTCGGTACGTACAAGAATTTACATCCAAATAAAAAGTCGTAAAGAATAATCCTGGGAAATTATATTTTCAAAACTGTAAAACAATTCACTGCAAAATTCAATTTTCACTGTAAAAAAAAAATGTCTTTTTTTCCCTCTTAAATTGTAAATTTTTATTTCCCGTAAAACTGTACCAGCTACCCCCTTCCCCCCCCCCCTCGTACATGGCTTTGTTAACTTCACTGTATTTTGTTTTATTTAGTATTACTGGATTGTCTATTTGTTTTTCGTTGGACCTGCTCAACATGTGTTGCCACCAAGAATTAACCACACAACATTCTCATTTTCATGCACAAAAATTATGAATTTGGGCAGTATGATGAAAACTTATTTGATTTGACTCTTTAGGTATATTGCTATTGCCGTTCTGGCATAATGCTTTACCAAGGAAGACGTACTTGGTCATAGTTACACTGACTGCCCATCAGTTTCTATCAGTTCTCTGTAAACTGTCTAACATGCATTGTATGAAGATGTAATAACGTCGTTATTTTAACCCCTAGCTTGGTCCTAGGCGTATACATTTGGTGAGAGCCCGCGGTGGCAACATGAAATATCGAGCTCTGCGTGTGGATCAAGGCAACTTTTCATGGGGATCAGAATGTAAGTTGCTCACGAATTTATTAATTTTTGAATTTGTTTGCCGTACGTCTAAAATGTGTTGAAAAAAAGTACTTATTTTTAGTTCCTTCGCCATTAATGACCTCCTCTTTCGTGTTAAGTCGGTGGTCAGTGTGCGATGCATTCAAACTGTGGTTGATCTAATACTGAGGGACATGTTGAATATCAATAAAAGATTGCAATTCTCTTTCAATTAATTTTATCCAATTGTATAAATTGTAGGGCAACCATCTGAGAGTACCCTTAGTGTTTGATCTAATCAGTTTTAATCTTGCATCAATCTTAAGATGCACATAGCAAACCAATCGGCAACTTAGCTGGTAATGTTGCTGTTTCGGTGCCTGAAATTAATTAAATATGATATTTTCCTTTTTCTTAGCAACGACCCGCAAGACGCGTATTATTGATGTTGTGTACAACGCCAGTAACAATGAGTTAGTGAGAACCAAGACAGTTGTTAAAAATTGTATTGTACAAATAGATTCCACACCCTTCAGACAGTGGTATGAAGCCCATTATACTACACCCTTGGCAAGGAAAAAGGGAGCCAAACTGGTAAGATCTACATGTCTGTGTGATCGGAAATTGTGCATTACTGTTCTAGTCTGTTGGGAAGCTCTACATGCTGGGTTTCTGCTAACCCTTCATCAGTGCCAATGACAAATTTCATTTAGATTGTCACTTCTGCCACACACAAAAATAAAATTGTTATTTAAAAGAGTCATTATGCACAGAAATGTAAATTAAACGTAAGGAAAACATCTGACAAATTTATGATTCTTTATTCCTCCCCATTTGCGAATTTGAAATTGGCTAAGAAAAACATTGCTACTTTAGTGGAAGCCTACGTTTTATAGCTATCACAAGAAAATTAGTTTAGATGATATTTAAATAAAACTAGATACCTGGTATATATATTCTATAATTTGAAAATTTTGTCAATAACATCTGATTAGTAGTAAATCAATTAGTTTAAAACCATTGTCACTTAGCTACGGCACATTAACTTGTGTCTGCGCTCCCTCTGGAACTTGCTTTTGCTGGCAAACAATCAAATTAGCATACGTTTTATTTAACAGACTGAACAAGAGGAAGAAGTTCTCCACAAAAAACATTCTAAGAAAACTCAGAAAAAATATGATGAAAGAAAAAAGAATAGTGCTGTTAGCCAGATACTGACAGATCAGTTTGCTACTGGACGTTTATTGGGTGAGTAATAACTTTAAACTTGTTCAACTTTCTCATGCAACAATGATAGGCAAAAGTAGTCAAGTAAGATGAACCAGCAGTATGTAGTTTAATATGCTGGAAAGATGCATGGACACTTCATCCAACTTTGGGCAGTATGATGAAAACTTGTTTGATTTCACTCTTTAGGTATATTGCTGTTGCCGTTCTGGCATAATGCTTTACCAAGGAAGACGTACTTAGTCATAGTTACACTGACTGCCCATTACTTACACATTCAGTGATTGTTTTCATCCTATTTTTGTCAGTTTTTTTCCCTGTCTGAATAATGCCTTTAGAATGGTAGCTGTCTGTGCAATGTCTTGCTCTAAACTAGGCAATTGCAAACTTTATATATTGTCAAAGTGAAAGTAAACTTGTTTTCTCTCTACAGCATGCATTTCATCAAGGCCGGGTCAGTGTGGCCGTGCTGATGGGTACATACTTGAAGGCAAAGAATTGGAGTTCTATTTAAGGAAGATCAAAGCAAAGAAGGGCAAATAAATCTTGGTTTTTTCACTTTCAAATATAGAGCTTATTGTATTAAAGTGATCTGACTGAAATGTATTCGTCTCTTGTGATTTGTTGCTCATTGGAATACTGGGTAGCTGTGGAAAAAAATTCTTGAAAACCTCCATTATGTCACTAGCAACACTAGCAAGTAGATGTTGGCAGATTTGGGGGCAACATTGCGTGTAAGACAGCTGTACTGTCAGCCAATTGATAAACTACTAGAATATCACTGGTTAGGTTTACAAAAGAAATTCATGGCCACAGTAAGCCCAAGCTGGCCTTTGGTTTCATTTTTAATTAGTCTACTCTGGCCAATTTGATATGAAACTTTTGAGGAAAACGGGTGTTCTAATACAAGCATTTACTGACCTGGTGTGCAAGGGCTTGAGAATGTTAAAAGAAGAAAGCTAAGAATTAAAAAGCAGTGGTCTATGAGCTTACTACACTACACTATATTGTGGAAATTCAACTTGTTACTGTACAGACTAGGTCTTGGTTGGGATTAAACAATCGTAGAACTCTTGCTACTGTGATGACATTTTGAATATGCCAAAAGGGTACTAAAACATGTAAAGTTCTCCATCTTATTTGTAGGTGTTATGGGTATCGTCTTGTCATTCAACCTGCATACCAAATTTTTTTTAAAAGGGGTGAAACTCCCGCAGAAATCTAAAGCATGGCCAATTCTGAAAGAGTTTACTAATCCGAATGTCAAACCTGCTTGTATTACTAAATGAATTGCGCCTGTTCAGTTATCCTGAAAACAATCCTTCACTACAGTGTTATCATTGACTATTCACACACTGTGCAGAATTAAAGGACAGCTCATTTTGATGGGTCTGTGTGCAAGTCAATACAAACAAATTCTGAATTAGTAATTGCAAGCATTGTTTTACTACCATCAAACTTTTGAATGTAAGTATTACATGTATTTAAGGGGACTTATCACCTGTGCAGTGTTGATTTTTGACTGAATGGCTACAATTTACTGGTATAATGTGGTTACTTTATTTTGGTGGTGTGAGCTTTGTGTATGCTGGAGCACATTGACTTTTCGACAAGGTTATGGTGATGTTGGATAAGATGGAAAAATCTGAGCAACGAGTTATAATACATGTTACAAAATTAATTCTATTTATACCTATAAAGGACAAACGTGTTCAAATAGATCACTTGTATCGATTGCATTTTGCCTGTTGATTGAGTTTGTTTTGGCAATGTGTTCACTGAACTGGATAAACTTTTTTCGTTTTTGACTTTCACACTCCTGCTTCCCACATAAAGACAGGTTAAAACTTGATATGTATATGACTGAATACTAATGTGTGTTTGTTTTATACCATCCAAATTACTACAAGCAAGCTGTGGTAAAATACTCCTACATTATAGTACACAATAGCTTTAAAAAAGCACCAATCAGCATGCTGTACTTCCATTGCAGGGAACCAATCAATCTACTTGTAGAAGCAGATGATCAGTGCCCTTGTTCTGATTGGTCATTTGCTTTCATCAGCTCTCATTATGAAAATACAAATTCCCGCTGCCAATCAACTCCTGTAGCTGTGTTGTATTTTGCCAGAATATGTTTGTTGCGGAAATTAATATATTGGAAACTAAAGAATCACTAATGTGTATAGTCTTATCCCTGTATTATTTGTTTGCATTTTGTTATGTTCATTGCAATAAAATGGCCGTGCTCAACTGTACTCGTAAGATAACAAATTGTTTATAGACATTTTATAAGAAATATAACCATTTTAGAAATTTATAAGAAAAAAATTAGAGATAACAATTTATAAAAATCTTGTGAGATTATTTCTAGTTTGTTGGATTAATAAGTGTATATAACGGGAAATATTAAGAAAGCCCGAACTCGTGTGTTGCTTGAGACTGGGGTAAGTCAGAATAATTTTATCTGTTAGTAGGCAGAGTATAGCAGTATTCATATAATGGTTGATCTCAAAACCCAATACTCTGGACAGTTCAAAACATAGAACATAATTTGCATACTCTCTCGTCTCACCTGATGTCATTCTATCTATCACAGTCCTGTGGATCTACCCTTTCCAAACATGGGCTGATGGGTATATTATGATGATGATTATTATTTGCACGTATCTGTTAATCGACTTAATTAGCTCACGGTTACTAAAACAGATTTAGTAACCGTGATTAGCTGATTACTAGCGAATGGCTGTGTTATATCTGTCATCGTTTAGGCCCATGCGAGGTTCTGGACGGAACTTGGTTCAGTGATTTGGAACTAATTATGATATACAAGTAACCGTCGCTATTCGGACTACTATTTTTGACAGTTGGTATTCGCAATTATTAATATAGTGAACAATTAATCAAAAGATATGACGTGTTCAGTACTTAGTGTGATTGGCTGTATGGTTGAAGGTTACGCCCTAGAGTCTTTATACTGCTTTGTAATTGGTTAAGGTTTTGAAAGTGAATAAAGAGAGTTTTAGTTGGTCTTGGCGAGTACACGAGGAGAGACGCAGTCTAGAGTCTAGTCTTGGGCCAGCCTTGCGATAGTCTTGGAGACTTTTCCCCAGGGCGCTGTGTCTTATAGAGTACTCGACTGACCGACTAAAGACGAAAGCTGAAACGTATTTTGTTGTGTGCGTCTATTTGACTGTAAAGCTTAAGCGACTTTCCCGACCCCGTACCTCAAGGGGACGAGATATAGAGACAGAGACGAGATTCCCCCCTGACACGTGTGGAGACCCCATAGGAGAAGAATTTCCCCCTGATAATATTATCAGTCCTGGTGAAGCAATACAAAACACACTCATAACAAAATTACAATTTTTGATAGTGTTCAAAAACTAAATCTTGTTTTAAAATTTCAAGTTTGCCACTATTATGTATCTTATCAGTCTTGCATGGAAAATATTTTTCACCTTTGTTTAAACATTACGAGAAAATCCCTTTTGATATTGACAGTTGTGCAACCCAGACATGACCAAAACTATATCTTAGTAGTAAATTATTTACAAATAGCCTCCAACAATCATTGCCTTTTTCTGCCAACTCAAATTAATACTTGTAAATATTCGAGCAAAATGGTCGGGTTTTTATCTAGAATTAATTTCAGCCAAAATTTCCGCTGTTAATATATATCCTTAAAGCAAATCGTCCCAGTTCCCCCTAACAACAACGACAGCTGTGAAACCCACACCCTTCACATCAGTTATGTTACCAGTAACAACCCAAACTGCACTGTCATGAAGGATTTTCCCATCATAAATGCGTATAGAAATATCTGGTTGCAGTAGAAAATAAATAAACACTGTTCGAACCCATAACTATGATATATAGTAGATAATATTTTGTTGTGAGAGTGCTGTTTACCCTTCTTGAGTGTGTGAGGGCGCTGTTCATCCTTGAGTGTTATTTATATTTTCTTTAAATATTCATATTTCTACCTTTGAGATGTATTGTAAATTCTTTATTTTTATTATTAATTTCTGTAGAGGATATGTAATGTATTATTTCAATGTATTTTGTAATTTTGAGAAAACACTTCTTTTGCCGAGGTCATGTGACATGACAGACTCCATCTTGTAAACTTCTGTTTGCAAACACTTTTCGTTTGCTGTCTGCAATTTCACCCAGTTTCAATCTTTATCAGTCTCTAGAAGTTTGAAAACCATTTCATGATTTTCTGAGCTCGAGCTGTGTGAATGGCAACCTGAAGCTGAGGAGAGCACTGTATCTCACTCAATTTAAAGTTGTTCTAGTCAGGGTTTCTTTTTTTGTTTTGTTTTGTTTTTGTTTTATGTTATCTTAACCATAGTATGAACTTGGAATAAAAGAACGCAGTGAATGACATACATGCGTGTCTCTATGTGTGTCTATCTGCACGTTACATTTTGGCGTAGTCGGCAGGATCCAAGTGCGACTTCTACATGGTTTAAACCCTGACTTGAAGAGAGAATTAAGGCCAAGTTGAAAGTGTGTTTCCTGGGTGGTGTGCTACATTTCACCTGAACTGTGCTACTGTGTTCTCATAGAAGACACTGATGTTCAACCTGGGCTGA